GAAAAGGTTGTGAAATCTCGTCACTGGGTCTATGGGATTTTGGCAGCAACATCAATGTGGTTTTAAAAATTCAGCAACTCACTCCACAATGTATGAGATTCCTTTTCATCGCAAACACCATGACCCCGTAATAGTGATATAATTTGGATTTTGCAGTACGAAGTACAATATTATTTGCTAATATTCATACAATCAGTCCCAACTTTTCTCACCCACCAGCTTTAAGCATATTGAGAACATTTTAATCAAAGGTGGTGAAAGTAAATCCATCGATTAATCTGTGTCCTAAACCGTGTATTGCCGGAGGTAATCGATGTTGGCTGCAGTCGACGTAACTTAAATCTGAGTACCCCATGCTATTAAACTTAGAATTAAGAGTGTCTAGTTTAATGTGAAACTAAGTTGTGCTGCCTTCTGAGGTGACGCGAGGCAAAACACCGTTCAAAAGCGTCGGAGATTGTCATTAGGCAAAACAACATTAGTTTTATTTGAATCTCTGAGACTTCGGCTACCCAGAAACAGAGGCGCAATATTTGCAAAGTAATTGATCCAGAGGCCAGCCGCGTCCTACTCATGTATGGTCGTACGATGATATATCCCGAGTGAATCTCCGTCGCCATCACATCTTTAATCTCATCAGCATGCCTGTAAGAGCAGTTGAGACTAAACGAATTTAAACGAACGCAGATTATCTCAAGAATCGTATTTGCCACACAAAGGTCCATGTTCAGTACCGAGCACGCATGGCGCAAAGCAGCTTTCACCGTCAACCCCAGTGGTGCCTTCTAAGCAACCCAAATTGCCGGCAACAAGTATAAAGCCAACACTCGCTAGACAAAACCACACTGTGCTAACTCTCGTGTGCACTAATGTACCCGAATCCAAATCTGGAACAATAAAAGGCAAGTTGCAAGACGATCGCAACCAGTGGAGTTCCATCTGCGAGGCGATTGGCATTCTGGTTGAGCCTGCAATGCTGCAAAGTGTGGCGCGTCACCCGACCTCAGTACACTCTGGTGAACCTCGAATTCTTCGAGTAACACTAGACTCAGCAGATGAGGCAGAGGCTACCCTGCTCTCAGCAGTTCGTCTTCGCAACTCACCGACCGGAGTGCGCATATTACCTGATCTACCTTGGAAAGATCGCCCAAAAGAAGCAGTTGAGCAACGCGGCATTGCTAATAGGTATAGCAAGAAAGCAATAGTTGTTAATGGTGTTCCTGAGCTTCTGCAGTCTTCTGCTCACGCTGCGCAAACACGTGACCGAGAGCAGTGGCGCTACGTCCGCGAAGCACTCTCTTTTGTTAATGTTATTGCCAAATCCCTGACCAGAGTTCCTTCATCACCTAACTATAAGGGCCGCGGTCCAAGGCTAATGAAAGTTATACTGCACTCCGAGGAAATGACGTAAGTTCTGTTAGATAGCTGGTTAAAGTTTCGAGCTAGGTAGCCAAACGAGTAACGGCTAAAAGCAGCAGGTGAACGACCAAAGGTCGGAAGCAATTCAATGGAACTAGCAAACGATACAACTTCTTTATTTGCACAATCATGCGGAGAGACCGACACCACAGGGCCCACGGTACACAAGAGAACCGAACACAGTACGAGTGAAACGACTGTTCAGGAACGCTCAACAATAATATGCAACATGCCTGAAATACATAAAATAAAACGGTTAATGACCGGCCACCTAACAGCCGGCTTAAAAACTAACACAAACTTGACGTCCGTCAACGCACTCTTAACAACAAAGGCCCCATCTTCCATGTACACAAACGCCCAAGGCCTTCTAAGCAAGTTGGCCGAACTTAGAGACCTCCATGCCTCACAACCGCGGGACCTCCTCCTGATTACAGAGACATGGTTAAACCATGCGATATCCGATTCTGAGATCAATATACCTGGTTTGTCGATGCTTAGGACCGATAGAACCTGAAGGGGTGGCGGTGTGATTCTTTAATATAATACAAACCTCCGATGTGCAGTTATCGATCACCCGGAAATCCGAGCTCCCGATTCGCTTTGGTGCCGCCTATGGTTTCGAAACAAGGACACATGTCTACTAGCCGTGATTTATCGTCCACCAAACTTAAGGTCCGAAATGGACTCCAAACTGAAACACCTTTTTCAGTTTGCTTTGCACAAGTCCTACACCCACATTCTTATCGCTGGAGGCTTTAACGTGCACGACATAAAAACGCAGGCAACTGACGGTACGCAGTGAAAAGCTCACTTGCAATTGCTAATTGCTGGCCACCCTCTGTACAGCCACGTAACCTGTCCCACCAGATTTCGAATTGCCAATAAGCCGTCGATACTGGATCTTGTGGTAACTAATGAAGAACTCATGGTTGACGGGATAGTTACAAGCACACCACTGGGTCGTGGTGATCATGTCACTCTACTCTTTGACTATATATGCTGTGCGGAGTATCCTGAAAAAGGAGGATGATAAAGTGCATACTCTCACACACTATAATGTGTTATCTAAGCTTGTTAAGGATACATATCGTACTTCCTTAACGGAATGCCCCCCAGGTGTTGCCTGGGAAACATTTACAAGGCCGTTTAGCATATTGGTTACGCACGTATCGAAACAGAAGTCCTTCCAACCCAAAAACAACCGTAAGTCACTTCTGAGGAGCAGAACACGTAAATGTATGTCCCGGAGGAATTTTGCATGGCGAGATCACCAGGACTGCTCGAATGCCGAAAACTGGACTGCATACGTGACACATCGCAACTTCTGTGTGAAATTGATCCGCGAAGATCACTCATCGGCAGAAGTTAATGAAGCGATTCTGCACTACCCGCTAACTCCTGTACAGGCACGTTAACGGCCATCGAAGGGTGAAGCGGGGGTTCCAGCGCTAGTCACGGATGATGGGTGCACGCGATCAGCAATGGAAGCAGCTTATCTCCTATGGATTCATTACTCCCAAACTTTCCAGCATGTCTAATACTCTACCATCTGGTTTAGAAAACATCGCCTTCACTGCGGAAGCTGTGTTGAAGAAGTTGTTATCCTTGCGTATCCACAGTCCTCCCGGAGCCGGCAACATCCTACCAAAGGCTCTGCAGGTGGTAGCTAGTGATCTAGCAGAACCACTGGCTGTTTTCAATCAGCGACGTCTAGAAGAGAACCATATTCCACCAGTATGGAAACGAGGTGTCATCACTCCTATCCATAAATGGGGTAGCCGCACTGATCCTGCAAACTACCGTCTAAAAACACTAGTTCCTGTTTTATCCATATTTATGGAATCAGACATTGCAGATGCGCTGATGCAATGCCTGGAAAGCCACAATTTAATAGCCCCAAAGCAACATTACTTTCGGCAAAAGCATTCGTGTAATACTAACCTATTACTTGAACGTAATAGCTCGACAGGATGTGTTGATAATGGAGTAGGAGTCGATGTCATCTACCTGGACGTTGCAAAGTCGTTCGATCGCTTAGACCATCGCATTCTCCTTCAGACGCTTCGGAATTACGGCAGTAGCAACCCAATCCTGAGTTGAATTGGCAATTTCCTACAAGAGCGGCGGCTAGTAGTGAGAGTCAGAAAATCATTGTCTGATGCAATCGATGTGGCATGTAGAGTACCACAAGGCTCGCTTCTTGGACTTCGTCTATTCTTGGTGTCCGTTAACGGCTTGGTGAGATCAATTACTTCCGATTTCCTATTTTTCGCTGATGATATCAAGATATGGCGAAGGATTAGAGGACCGGAAGACTATGAACGGCTCCAGTGCGATCTTAACACAGTGTTGAACTGGTCAGTTCAACACGCCCTACCATTTAACGTAGAGAAATGTCGCGTTGTACACTTACGCCATAGATATAACTACACATATTCACTTGGGACAAACGGATTGCAGTATAACTGTCAGGAAAGTGAACTTGGTGCGCTCGTACAAATCTTCCTCAACTGTTCAAAACCGGCTGAAGTAGCTACAAAAAGAGGCAGGCAGCACGTCGGCATGCTGCGAAGGGCATTTGGGAGATTTGACCCATCAATATTCTCAATAATGCACAATTCCTACATGCGCCTGCATGTTGAATATGCCATCCAAGCATGGCAACCTTGGTTGAAGCGCGACCTATAGGCGATAGAGACACCACAACGAAGAGCAACAAAGTATTTAAAGGGACTACTATATCACTCTTACCACCGAAGACTGAAGTTGCTGAAAATTTTCAGCGGACGCTATCGAATGCTGCGCCGTAATCTCATATTAAAGTATCAGATTCTGATTGACCCCAACCACATATGACGCCATTTGCTGAAACTTAGTCACAACACGCAGCTCAGGGGTAACTGCTTGACATTGACGGAACAATATAGCCGTCTAGAGTGTCGACGGAATTACTTTTCCCATTGGGATTGCCAAACCTGGAACGCACTCCCAGATTCAGTTGCGTCCTCTCTTCCATTGGACGTATTCAAAGAACGATTAGATGTTGCCCTTATCTCCCAGCATTTTGTTAACTAAACTCCTCTATTACGGATTACGCCAAGTATGCTTTTCACTAAAATTTATGTATCAAATGGACTTAGGTGAGCGACCATATTTTAATTTTCTCAATACTTACTTAAACGATCACTGAACCAAGTGTGTCTTTCTAAAAGTATACGCGCGATACTTTTATAAACTTTCCATTAATGTTAAATATCAAAGTATTCAACTAGGCGCACGTTCTGTAAATGATCCAGATATATTTAGATTTCTTCGTATTCACACCAATACATCCGAAGGGACGTGTCAAGCATGCGCTTATATGGCGTGTAAAATCATTGTTCATGGTTTGACAGTGTTTGGATCAAATTCAACAAGAAACGCCTCCTACTTAATAACTTTAGTCTTTTAAAATAAATTAAGAATTTTATTTAAGAACTGACAATTCGCTTACCGTTATTCTACGCGTTGCAAGTGAGAAGCTCCAGTGGTTTAAAAACTGTATATCATGTGATTATAATGAATCGATAACTCGACGAATGCCTCATAAAACAAGCATCGGTATAAGTCGGCAAGTTGATGATGTGGAATTAGGTTTTCTGTATCACATTGTGCGACAGCCGCTGAAACTTTCTGCGATTAGCCCTGAGGAGACATTTCTAGGCATTCCGTATTCGCACGTACCTTATCAGCAAGTATAGTGAACGAAAGATCATCTGGTGAGCAATTGCTTTCAATTATTCCTCATCAGACTATTACAATCATATGCAGGCTAAAAATAAAAATCTACCCAGTTCGTTCACAACGAACAGTTCACGTGAAGGTATATGTCAGAGATGAGAAAACGGGTAAGAATTGGTAGATCTTTTATTATTGTTAAATTCACTGTTGCGGATCCTGACAATTACGTTGTTATTGTTTTCTCCATTTTATTATTCAGCGACCTTTACCACCGGTGAGTCTGCATTTTCGCAATGTAGCGCTGGTGAGCATTGATAGCTAACAGTCGCAAGCGATAGCTGCCACGGATGAGTTGGTATCGAATATTCATGCTAAAGTAGCTACCTAGAATTTGCTACCAATTTGCTAATGGACATTTGCTAATGGACATTTCATTCACTTGACCGTGAAGGACTCTGGAAAATCTTACTTGCTGATGAAGTACTGTTTAAACTCGATACATGGAGGAAATTATGTTGCCATAGCACGCGGACCCCGATTAGGGTCAATGGAGAAGTAAAAACGCAATTCGACAAGAATACTGGAATACTGCAGGTTTGTCGAGTTTCCCCAGTGACATTCAACTTCGTGTACGACTGGGTTATGCACCATGTCCTAGAATGGTATCCTGGTGTTCAAATAAGCCCTGAACTTTGGCTGTCAGAACTAGAATTTGCTGTCGATATCGCTATCCTTGAAGAAGAGTCTAAGTCTCGGCGATCATTGCTAAATCGAGTCGACCCATCCGCCTCCATGATAGGTCCCGAAAGTAAGAACAACAAGACGAAATACTTCTCATCGTCATTCATCAAGTGCGCTCCATTCTACTTCTTACATAAACAACGTATGCAGTCTGATCCTGAGTTCAGGTACGTTTAATCCACTCTGCTCCCCAGTGGTCAGGCTACATCCAAAATCCGGATTCGTACTGACGGCACCAAATCATCTTTCTTGCTACTGATAAACAAACTATGGCGAAGGATTGACATTAGTCAGCGAACGGGAACCTGATTATGCTCGACAACCTTTCGAGTCATTTTATTCTGTGATTCCAAAACAGGAACGCTGCAAACAGGGGACATCCGGAAACTGAAAGTCTTCAAACATTGTGTATGATTCTTGCATTGAAAACACAATTGCATGAACCCATGACCAGCGACGAAGTTCGTAACGCTGTTACGGTATTTCGAAGCTCACAGCGCCAATCCAACGCTGCAGACTTCAGTAGTTAGGTCACGGTCTCCGCAGACCAAACGCTAACTTCACAACGGCCGTGGCTTCGTCCTCGTTTTACAAGGATTGGTGTCGCCGCCGTGATGGACAAGTGAAAACTTGGCTCGCTGCAGTTAAATCGGATGTCGAACATATGAGACTCCAGGTTGTGCATGGTGCACGTCACTGGAGGCTTCGTTGGACCAGTATCTACGTTGAGCTGGCCGCTCGCCGTCGTGCTTGGACACTTGTAACCATCAAATTTCATGAAGCGGGCTCATCCTGTCGTAGGAACTAGCTACAGTAATTTAATTAAGTATTAAAAAGCAGCGAAATTAAACCGACTATTGATATTTAGAGGGCTCCATCGAGGTTATGTCTATGTTAGAGGAGAAATTCAGCAAGACATCAGGATACATCTCTCGGGTTCACTGGCAAGAATATTCGATGGAGTCGTTTAAGAAGCAGTTCATTTGAACCGCTGTTCGGCCAACACCTGCCAACTTGCCAGAACACACCTAGAGCGCTGGTATCACATAGTACAGCAAGGAAACGTATTGTAAACATGCCCTGGAAAGTTAGGTAAGGAACCCAGACCTAACGGTCTCGTTTGGCAGCCAAGTTAGGTAAGTATACTAGAATGATCGTCAATGAATTCTAGGAATATAAGTGGTACTAGTAACGATATTTGGGAGCACACCTCACTGTATTAAAGAAGGATTGGAAATAGAGCTGCCGAGTCTCATATACGGCTGACGTTGAATGAGGAATTTCGTCATCCAATCCGGCTCAAGATCACCGGGCCGGGGTGCCGTGAACCTAAAAGCTTGCATTTCTGAGGGCATTCCATTGGCGCCTTTGCGATAACACCTGTTAATTAGACAACACCCGGAGGACGGTGCTCGGACAGTAGTTCGAATGTTCCGCAATATTCCGACTATCGTAAATGGGAATGTTTTTTTTATATTTCTAATTGTTAGAACCTGCTTTTCATCAAGACATCGATGAAATAACCCGGATAATGGTTCAGGGCTGTTCAAGTCTGCCGTTTTTATGCATTCGGTCTGCTGACATTCGCTCCGCGAGAGCTATGCACGCACAAAGACAATGGCATTTTCATCGCATTTACTGTCCTGAATGGTACGTAGTTTAACTCTGGGGCACCAGGAGCTGGATTAAAAGCGGATGAGATTATCCTTCCTTCTGAAACGTGCGTACGAGGTGTGGGCAAAACGCATTGGCCGCTTCATGTACGAATCTCATCTGATCATTTGATTATCCTAGAACTATGATCCCGCTATTCACTCTGCGGAGCCTGTTGACGTGCATGTATAACATTTTAGGATTGCGCTGATTTTTTCGTAGTATGTTGGTGCCAAATTCCATCTTCACGGGACGAGTTGACGCAGTGATTTCCTTGACTTACGTGGGCATCCCAGGCTTGCTTACACGTACAAGCATTATTAGCGTGACAAGCTGAATCCCTTAAGGCCATGCACTTAAGTCCCTCAAGTAGGACTTCGGTTGCTTCAGGCGAGCAATTTTTCCGACGCATTCCCCACTAGCCCGGTGAATTTGGTGGCAAACACCATTCAGGCGATATCGGACGGCTGTTCGGCTAGTAAGCAGCAGTCAGTTTCTAAAAGAAGTTCAACAGAATGTCGTACTGGGTGACGAATTGTGTTCAAACATTATATTCACTGATGTATTCAGCGTAGCAGAGCAATATCGCGCAATCGTTTTGGTAAAGTTGTGTATCTGTGGTTACGCTATCAACCGTTAGTTACTCGTTGATGAGTGGAACGTCCAAAACGGTTGGTTTGTTACCCGTTCTGAGTAGCATAAGGGCGGTGATATTGGCGTACAGGGGCACATTGACGATCGTCTTTTACAAATCAGCCTTAAATCCTTGGCGGTGTGGTGTGTGTACTTGGATTGCGTGCATCTTGCATTCACCCACCAAACGGACGTGACTGTGTGGCCGCGCCAGGACCAGGTTCCTCGAAGATGCTGGGCGGTGATGGACTTCCACGATGAAGGTTTGAGGATGGTAAATGATTTCTGCTAAACACACATCACCATGTATCGTCTGCGTAACTGGATCGTCGATTGTATCCACATGCAGGTCAGGTTTGTAATACAGAATCACTCATTCTCCCTACTTTATCCGTCGTTTCGTAAGAAAAACATGACGAAAAGGGCAATGTCAACCTCGGTGATTTTTGGGTACTGCCATGATTCAATAAATTTGACTATGCCCCAATGCGAGGAGAACAGATGAATGCGACTTTCGGTTAGCTTACTGAGAAAATGTTGCGCGTTACTAAACAAGCCGGTGATCGCCCTAACTTTTGGTAGGTGCTGCTTTCGCGTGATGGTCATGCCGAAACTAAGGGGGTCGGGTGCCGTTCTTATTCATGAAGGACATTTTACACAGGCTCTCAGGCCCCTCGGTCCGATTTCAGTAAAGCTTTCGACAAGGTAAACCAGGACGTCCTTCTCTATAAGCTAGGAGTGCGCGGTGTTGCTGGTTCACTGCTTCCGTGAATCCAGTGATAGTCGTTTGGTGAGGGTGGAAAATATAGGTCGACGGCAATCTGACTGACTGGTATTGCTCTACTAGTGATGTACCCAACGGCACGCTGCTGAGGCTCAATCATTCCTAATTCATATCAACGATCTACCGCAGCTTCTTCGTTCGCCTTGTGCCCGTTTGTGCACCCCATGAAGTTTGGAGAGTGATAAGCACCCGAAGTCTCCTGGTCGGACTGCTTGGTTTACGTGCTTTTTGGTGAGTTACCTGCGTAGTAATGGCAGATTATGACCCGGGGCGGAGAAATCCGGAAGAAAGTTTTCTCGCGGTTGCCCCCTTATCTGTGCACGATAGCCAGCTGTTTATCATACCATGTTATTAACCTTGTATGTGCGCCCTTAATCTGAATTAAGGTCTTCCGGTAATTCGCACTACTTCCATACAAACGGGCATGTTTTGGCACATACCATCCACACGGTGCAATGTTTTACCTGAGTGAGTGCATGCGGTTGCGTGTCGAATTACATGTACTGTAACAGACAACAACAAGTGTATGTTCACTTTTTTGAGACGTTCCATCTATTTCTCATAAAATCGGCGAAAAATTATTCACCCGAATGACTAGTGAGTTAAGCACCAAAATTACGAAGTAGTTGAAAAGGAAATTTTCTTAACATTATATTTATCAAGGTCAACGCCAGAGACAATCCTGTGGGACCTGCGGTGAGTATTCCGTCAAGTTTTGTTATAAAACTCCTTGCTTGTTTAAATGGCTGCAACTGAAAATCATCAAGCTAAATCACCGAGATCGTCTTCTTTGTTAGAAGTACGAACATCACACTTTGCGTCAAAACAATAGTCTGAATCTGAACTGCCCAGTAAACGGTTGCTGTTTTACAATTCCTGGATGTGACGCAATTTTCTGAATTATTAACTCGGTAGATGAGTGAGTTGCTAGTGGCAATCCGGTGTGATTAGCTGAATCGATAACTCATTCTCTTACCAATGCGTGTTTCTTCAATGCACTGCGTGATATATTAGCAGTTTCGGAGTAGTTGATTCAAATTTCACCGTCTACCCTCCCTTTGTTGGTACCTAGGTATTAGAGTCGCCATTGTAATCTGCTTTAAACATTATCGTGAGTACTTGTAGCACGAGATGTAGACGGGGTTTTTTGTTTGTTTTCCGGGCTGGACGATTCCGTTGAAAATGTTTGATTACCAGACTCAGCATCATCATTAGCGCAAAAACCTGGAGAAGATTTGTAGGAGCGCTGACTAGGTGCGGAGTCGGAAAATAGCCGTGTCCCGTCGTCCTTACTGGATGTCGGAAAGAAAATCATGTTGGTATCCCGATGATATATTTTGGGAGTCTCCCGAAAATACACTGCGACAGTAGGGCAGAAAGATTGCACAGGGAAAACACAGGTGGTAGTTGGCTAGATGGTATAAGCTAGAGTTCAAAGTAAGTTGTCAATTGATTGTATAGCTTTTGAATGGCTTTTGAATGATGTGGTTAGAGAGTCACATGATTGTGGCTAGTATCTTCACTGTGCGAAGAGAAATAAGCTAAAAATAGCAAAATAAGTTAAAGCTCCCACAGGTTCAGAGGGAATGCCATAGTTGAGAACTTTCCGTCACGTTTTCAATGATGATGCTAATCCGCTAGCAATATTTTCGCAGCCAAACATCCAGTGTGGATAAGAGGCGAACACTTGCAATCTGCTATACATCTGTGAACGATGTGTTACGGAATTCACTACTAGTGAAACTATTCACCCTTGATAAAATATGCAGCTTCCTCTGAGTCTTGCTTTTTGGAGATGCAGTAGAGACGGAAATCCTCGGTTACTTATGCCAAATGCGGGCGGTTGTACAGAAATATAAAACCTACAGTATATTCGTACTATGTGTAGATCTACCAACAACAATCAAATGTACGGAGATAAAAATAGTCGGTAACATGCACAACCCGACCATGTCAAATCGTGATGCGATTCTATGCACTTGCTTTCATTCATGGACAGGGACAGTGCTTTTAGTGAGCAACTCCATAGAAACCTCCAAATTGAGCCCAATTATTTTACTCCCATTAACCCGATTTACGATACGGCGTAGCAATACAAAATGTTAACGTCCGAGACTTTTTCATACATTCCATAGCGTATTTCTCTGACAGGAGGCTGAACCAGTCATGTTAGTTCACTTAAGCACGTGCCTATGTTTGCACCACAAAATGATATCCTGTTGTCGCGTTGTAGTGTGTTTATTCATCAGCTACTAAAAGTGAAGCTTTATCATGAACGCAGTGATATCGAACATTGCCAAACTCAAACTAGTTCTCTTCCTGTCCCTTCATGTGGGTGTGCGGTCTTTTGCATCAAAGCCCATTTCCTACCATGCATGATGTGCTCTTTGGTCATAGATAGTGTTCTTCCACGTAGATCTGCGTGTTCAACTACGCAACGTTATATATGTGATTATTGATGGGGTTTACAAATCCGAATAAATATGGGATACACTGAACTTATTATTAAAGAATACTGTAAAGAAGCGACAATCGGTAACTCGATACAAACAATCGTAAATCCATTGATAAGCGACCAAATGCTACGTAGCAATTCAAAAGAAAACAACGAGCACATGACCTTATAAACCTTCTGTCGACCCATGAAACTTAGGTCTGGTATAAAGTACATGTATGGCACAATTTGAGGAGTCTCTGTCCCGAATAAACAAGGGTGATTAATGTCCCGCCCATCCACTCTGCAATATAGTTCATCAGTATAAATGCCCAAAATTATGTGTTTACTCGAATGGCTATGAATGACATGGTGGGACAAGAGTAACGGAAAAGTGGTTATTTGGATGAGCTTGACAATTTTGGACATTAGTGCATTTACTATGTGAACAGCAAGCGGTTATCCCATTGTGAATTTTTCAGCGTACAAGTGACAACGATGTTTGGGCAAATGTGGAGCTCAGCGTGCTTTCTCAATTTTTCGTGTTTGTGCACATAAAAAAATGATATCGGAACCAACTCGCGTGTGAGTAGGAGCGAAGTTATACGCTTCGAAAATGACATCTTGTGACCATGGTTTCAGACAAATAACGACATCTAATACTCATGATAAAAGCAACAAACAGTCTACAGTGCGTTGAACATTATCGCATATTCCTGTGGATTACTGCCTAGGGAACACTTGAAAATACTTGAGGTTTTCGATTGTAATCAATCTCCCGTTTGGTGTATTCCAACTGCTCAAATTGCAGCCACCAAGGGCCACCAAGTCCCTGTCCACATTGTCATAATATACAGTTGCTGCCCTTACGCAATACGTATCTGTCCTGAAAACTGAAGTCTAACCCGATTAATTGCAAACAACCGTGTCCGCTTTTGTATTACCGGTAGGTAACGGTTTAATGATGCCTATGCACTTTCAATGGAAAAAAGGAAACGAAACACGGAGCTCAAAATATCATAATTCAGTCCACGACCGTTTTGGTATTTAGCCTGAAAATCGGTTACAGGGCCAAATTAGAATACAGCAAGAAATAATATACACTATACTGAACATGTAGAGAATGCGACGGGAGATTTGGTTGTTCGGAGGATCGAATTTGGTAGAGTGAACGAACATCCAACTGCATATTTACAAATCCATTGCATTTAGGGTAAAACTAAAGAAAACCCACCGGGTAATCGACAAATGTTAACAAAGGGAAACAGAGGAAGTAATACGATTGAGCAGATAGTGAACACGAACTTGGTAATAATGTCTTTATTTTCCGTTCTCGGAAATGACAATAATTAAATACCACGCACATTCAAGACGTACTTATTTGTCAACTTTAGCACCGGAAAAATTATCACAGATATAAGAGAACTGAATATTTTACTTACAGTTAAGAGGTACCATAGAACATAGTCCTTAACTTGCCGGCTAGTTTGTAACACAAGACAATCACATTCCGTCACTCATTGACTGGTAGCATAAACTGCTGTTTAGTGGTGTATGCCGCTGTATTCGTGGTGTCATATTCTGGGTTCATTTTGGAGTCAGGACATGAGGAGCACGGAGGTGTAAAAAGAGGACGACAAGATCATCTGGTACTTTTCCGGATGTGCGGTAGGCCAGCTGAAATGGAGGCAGCTGCGATGTATATTCGATAAGATAACATTGGGAAAATTGTGCAGCTGGTGGTTGTATATAATAAATCGCTGACAAGACATGCGGCGCAAATCCTTGTGTAACGTTGGTTTCACAAATTCCAGTATGTTACGGTTCCTATCCTTCCTTAATTTGGACCTCTTAGTCTAATATTACAGTTGAAGCAACTCAACAACATCAAGCCCAAGGCGTTTTATCCAGCCTTATCTTTTGGCATTCAGCACATGTTTAAATTCACATTCACCCATATTCTCACAACGAACTGGAGTGTTGACAACCACTCATACTTTCTCGTGCTCAATGAATCTCCCCATTATGACATGCCTACACAAATAGCGGATTGATCGGTTAAATAATTGATGGCGTAGCTATCAATCGCATTTTAACACAATTCGTTAAGTTAGCTGCTTGACTGTTTGAATTTCAGTGGGCTGACGCTTCTATTCGACATCGTTTGCTAGCATATTGCAATTTGAGATCAGAGTTGCCGCGCAAGTTGTGGTCGGGATACTAGTAACCACTGTATCTCATTCCCAGTTTGAACACCGAATTGACCCGGGCGTTAACGTTGCTGTACGGATGCACAATGAAATGGTCGGTTATCTGACGCAAAAGTAACACCTAGAATATCTGCAATCTGATGCGAGAATGCACCCAGATCACTAGTGCAGATGTAGAGCCATCAGATGAATTGGATTAGCTCTGCATTAAAACTTATGAATGCTTTACCTATGGGTCTTTCCCTTATCACCTTTACGCTAGAGTTTGTTCTTGAGACGGAGACTGGAGTACCAAGCTTTTCAATACAAAACTTAAGTTTTATATGGTTTAAAACACAATTAAGGAAGTCGTACATTTCACGTCATCGGCCGACTTTGAAAATACACCACGCATCATGGAACACAAACTGGCATCTTGACTTTCGCAATTAATTCATTCTCAGCCGAGATCTTGGTTGCACTTGTTACGGAAAAACTATAGTTTGTGTCTTAATTTTTTTGGCATAAGGTGCAGCTTTTTGTACTAACATGAAGTTTAATAAGACGACTCTTACAAAAGTTTTAGATTTCTCCCTCGTGTAGAAAACGCAGAATGATATTTTCATGAATCCATGAAGCAACATTCACATAACGCTAGACGATATACTCTGAATTTGCGTCCCTTCAAACTCAAATTTCCATTACAAGGTTTCTTAATATATCGTTATGTTTGCGTAATCTGCTCCGCCAACGTATGATAAAACACGGATAATGTGTAAAACTGCTTTTATTTTCAAAATGTTTTGGAGTTGATACAGCACAATGAAAGGATACGTTGTTTTAATAGGCTCTCCGGCAGCTTATTTTTTGTTAAATTGATACACCTACAGCAGGTTGCACTGAATATGATGTTAGACGACAAATGCAACGGCCGATTTAAATCCACCGCCAATTATATCACATATAATGCTTTATACTTGGTAAGGAATTAGTACAATTTCTGCTCAAAACTACTGCTTTGAATGCTTCTATATAGCAACATACCTAGACAATCCACTGATAATAACCCCAATGTTTTACGCTTTGTGTCTTCATAGAATGCGGACCAGTATGAAGATGATCCATATCGGGAAGCCGTGGTAAAGAATGATATATTTTAAATTGCACCATACCTAGTTTACTCCCAAGGCCTTATCGTTTCACATTATACGTGCTATTTGAACGTGTAAAATGCGAATACAAGCTTTGAATCTTACGTGCCGTGTGGATTTTAACTAACCAACCTGAATATTTCCACCATAATTTAAACATATCGAGTATCCTTGACATGGATGAAAATCGCTTAATAGGTCTCACATACTAAAGATTTTTGTTGTGATGTGCCATGCAACAAAATACAGCATAAATGGCGAGGTGAAATGAGAGTAACAAAGGTCACTCTAAACCGCTCCTTCATCTGCGCCATGATTTCCAAACTGCAGTAGAATTACGTAGTCATAGTGTACCCGAGTGGAGATAAAGCTCCGTTACCTAGCAAACGCGATCATTTCTACTGACATTAGTAGATGAAAATATGTCTCAAATACATGTATTTACACAAGTTATATCCAAATGTACAAAGAAAACAGAGTTGGAAACGTGCACCAAGCGACCATCCCAAATCATGATGCAAGCCTACGCAATTGAGTACCATCGTTTTCTTCGGGCAGTATTGTTTTATAATAATGCTTCAAGTGATAGCTCCGACAAAACCTATTGGCACTCGTGCGCATAGGGAAAGTGTATAAACGAAATAAATAAATTGTTTATTCGCAATAATTCGAGGCAGGCTTGTACGGGCATGATCCACTCAGGTGGCACTACGGAAAGGATGTCCGGCAAGCCAGCGTATGCTGTGGTCCTTCAAAAGTTAAACACTCAAACATTTTCATGTCACTCAAAGCCAGTTTCCGTGGACTATGACTGAGTCAGTCAAGTGGTTCAGTTAGAAAAACCACAAAGTCTTTCTTCACAAACTGGAGTTTCTTCATCTCCTTGTTCCGACTTTTGGTAACCATTTAATAAAATTGGTTACACTGAAAACATACAAGCAGTGCATTCTTAAGCTGATGCGCATCTCGTTCCTACATTTGAGCGCGTGCGGCTTTGCGTAACACAGCCAATCATTGATCACGTGGCCGTTCGTACAGTGCGTGCTTACTTCAGCGGTCATGTATTCTTTCCGCACGAGGTTTATCTACAGCCTCGGCTAGATGAGCTGGCATGAGTTAACCTGCTACCGACAAATATTTGTCAAATATTGTGCCTCATCAACAGCTACACAAGTTTAAATACTCACATACCTCTCCATATGGTTGCTTTTGTGTGTTATTACATTTGAGCAACTGTTACAAATTTACTTTCCCTGTAGGTCTGCTGTTTGCGTCCACCTGTGCACATTGCTTCGAATTTGCTACTTATGCTTCGCCGTTTATACCGCAAATTACATAAAGCGCTAGAAAGAGAGTATTTCACTTCAGCTGTCCGTCCATTCTAGAATCCGTGCTAACTATGCTGTGATCTTGAAGTCTAAGACAGTGAGAGGCTAGTCATTATTTATAGTCAGATGTGCCCCGCAGAATATGAGCCTAACGTTGTTGAGATTGCATCAACTCGAGATTATATCAGTTCCGCACTAACGCCAACCTTTCGTGATCCTTATCTTCACCGACCGCCTAGTTACACATTGCGGATGCTGTATTCCTCAGCATGTATCTCAGTTACCCAACTTAGTGTGTCTCGACAAATTCGAGAATAAACTATTTATTTATTTATTTAACATGATCAACTTGGCTACCAGAGATACACTTGCGCGGGGAAAATACGTTAGAATATACTCCAATTTAACTAGCCTGCTGAGTTGATCTGAATGCAGATTGCGAAGCATTTGATCTCAAAATTTGTCCTCTACACATAGCTGAGATGCTATCGTCTTGATGACGTTATCATTGATTTGGGCCTCCTGCTCGCAACACACTACTGGTTGCGCTGCACGCACCCGAAAGAATGCAATTATACTGTAGGTACATGGGAGAGCAACACCGCTGCGGTTACGAGCAAGTTCCGAAAAGTATTTCGGTAATCACAGACTGGGGAGAAAGATTATACCGCCTAGTATATGGCAATGATGGCATCCATTAATCGTCGTGCCGTTTTGCCAGTTCAGGTGTACAACATATAACAGTGCTGGCAACGGAACGACTTATTGCGCATCTTGTCGTGCATGCATGTCAGCTTTACGAGACGGCTTAGCAGATAACCAAATTTGGACCATGGGATAAGGTGGAGTATCTCTTAGAACACAACTAAGACTTGTCATGCAGTTGATGGAGAGGATGCCTGAGATCACACTGAAGTAGCTGGTTAACATAAGGCAAACTAATGCCATACAAATACACTGTTAGTAATCTTTGAATCAGAATCAGAACCTTTGAATCAGAATAGACACGAATTAGAAGGTGTGGAGCTGCCTCCTGGTGAGCGACTTCTTGACTTGAGGTATGCAGACGATATTGCCCTAATCTGTGACATATCCCAAACATGCCAAACAGCACTGGACCGAAAAGCACTGGCTGTCAAAAATTTGGGACTATGCTTTAATCCATCAGAATACAAAGCACTTCTCCAAGCTTGGCAAAAGCCACCCCTGCGCTGACGCTTTGTGGCGATCAGCCAGAAATCGTTCAGGAATTCAACTGCCTGGGCAATTATATTAGCGCCCGTGAGATCGAATTTGAGGTAAGGAGCCGTGCTTTTGCCAATCTCCGCCACGTGGTGGCGCTGACACGACATTACTCTCGCCCTGAAGGGCAGTTTATAACGCAGCCCTCCGCTCAACTCTCCTAAATGCTTGTGAAACCTGGACAACCAGGCCGACAGAAATAAACAGGTTGGTCACATCCGATCTTCGTTGACTTCACAGCTTAGATCATGCCTGGTGGCAGCAGCGCGTGAGCTATGAGGTGTTTGACGTCGTGTATTTGGTGCAGGAAGTGCGAACGAACCGCTCAGCACCATTATATGCTGCACCAGGCTGCGATGGTTAGGCCACGTGTTGCGCACGCTAGCACACCGACTCCCGCGACGTGCATTGTTTGCGTGCCGGGGGTGGTTTGAAGAGGAAGGGAGGCCAAACGATGACTTGGTCAAGAGGAATGAAAACCCTCACTTCGAAACTGGCGTCGGTTGGTGCATCCCGACTACTTGGCTGGGGTCCTAAGGACGGTGAACACATTTGGTTGGACCCACTTGCTTATATGGCGAAGAGCAGGTCCCATGTGTGTTTGTGTTTTGAGTTTCTTTGTCTATTTTCCTCCCTTTAGGTTCCCTCATCAATCCCGATCCCAGACAAAACGCATAAAATGGTATTTAACATACTTTTTGCAATGTAATTTGTAGTATAATGTTTTAGACTCTTATTATTTTGTATTGGGGCACATTAGCTGTGGTGTATTTCTCATCCTCAGCTAACGTGTACTGATGATAAGCATACACTACACGAACAGGCTTTACTGTAACGGACTGCGCATGCTTTGGGCGATCTGAAGAGTTCCCCAGTTGCCTCTTCTCTTACATCATAAGACCAATACAGTAGTACGGCTCATCTGCATACTGAGCAATCTCCCAAGGCGAAACACAGAAGCTCGAACGAGTCTAACACGTTGCTAGCAGTCACATTCTAGGTTTATGAGAATTATTGTACGAAAATTTGTGCCAGAAACTTGTACTCTACATTTTGTCCAATCGTTGGGCGCAAGTCGATCTCAACATGACGTTTCCCATATTACATCTCGGTGACTTCTCTAATGCTGAGGCCACTCCTTTACTTGGAAACGGTACACAACACACACGGACACTGGTACAAGATTGTGGTGACGAACGTAAATGCTTACCCCACCCCTGTGCTTCGTTTATTGAGTCGTAAATGTTTGGAAAAGTCCGCCAAAACAATTCGTGCAGGCTAAACGTGGACAGCTGTTCAAAACTTTGTTGGATTTACCTATCATCACCATTCGATTCAGAGAACGATTGCAACCAGCACTAAAATCTTGCCGTTGTAAAAGCAGTTAAACTTCAATTCAGACATTGTAGAATGCTACATAAAGTATGTACAAGGATAACAGTATCCGAGATTTCTGAAACATTTTGTTACATTTTGATTACATTGCAATGGAGTTGTACGAATGTAAATTTCTTATTGCTATCACGTACAGGATTTAGCATTCTCCTTTGCGTCTCCTGACGATGTTACCATGATTTGAAGACTAGGCATTCTACGTTGAATGTTGCATTTTATGTCTCACAACACACGTCAAATAGTGTCAAAAATAAAACGTACCTGTTCCATCCTAAAGTCAGATGACTTGAGCTGTCTCAATCAATGCATTCGCAGCTGATTTTTGCACGGACCACGTAAAGAGGTCACCTTGTCTTGAGAGAACGAATTTCGCATAGATTTGAATTATCATGTCTGATAATTCACAGTAAAAACGTATGATAAATTATCCTAATACTGCTAAAGTTTACTAGCTGGAAACTTAATATAGTAAATGTTAAAACGATACACTCACAGACGTTTTACTACCTCTACTATTCAAGACCTTTCACAAAAAAGGCAATGATGATGCTGGTGTCAACATGGATATGTGGGTAAGTTATAAAATTCAGATTTTCACCGTACCCAATTACTTTCCTTAGCAATGCTTTATGAGACATTACTTGACATGTGCTATTTGGTAGAACAATGTGCGTAGACTAGATTGGAAACTGATGTACCCAGTTGCTTTAAAACAATCGGGATTCATTATGCTCCGATAATTGAAACATATTTAGTGTGGTCGACATGGACGAAAGTCGATTACGTAATGTGTAATAAAATATCTCGTTTTCCTTAGATTTTAAGTATTTCGCAAGAAGTAAAATGAAATCCAATATAAGTGGCTAAGTGAAGTGCATATAGCCACTGTCGTTCTCAACTGCTGCATCTTCTGCTCCTCCTTCTCTGGCACTGTAGTTGAAGTACATCACCGTGGTGCATCCTCAGTGGAGATGAACCATCACCGTTAGTTAGACAAAATGAGCATAATTATCCAGATGTAAGAAGCTTACAATCTATCTGAACTAAATGTAGATGCGGATCACTGCGGAAAACAAATATGACGAAATGGCCGTTCGGAGATTTTTCAGAGGACACATGATATGGAAGCGGCTTCGATGAACGCTCAGTACAATAATATCGAGAAAATTGTGCAGCTGGGGATTGTGTAACGTGCATCTGTGAGAGGAAGTCCAGTAAAATTCAAGGTGTAACGTAGGTTTCATCAATTCAAGCGTTTCAAGGTACTCAGCATTCGCTTATTTGCAGTTTTCTGCCAAACATCCTAGTTGAAGCAACTCGACAAGCATTATGTACGTCACGGTTGACCATAGCTTTATTCGTTGGTACCCAGCACATGTTTAAATTCTCATTTACTATGGACATGAATTCACTTAAATTCCCACAGCATAAACTAGAGCGTTTAGTGCCTCTCGTGGCTTTGCACATGGTGCATAATGCCGTGCCGCATTCTGACACAACTAGGCATACAGCGGAGATTGTTCAGTTAAACCATCGCTTAGTTACAATTCGCGTTTGAATGCAAACTATTCTCTTGGCTGCTTGACCGATTGTGTTTCATTTGATTGAAACTTCGATTCGGTATCGCATGTTAGTTCATTGCAATTTGGGTACATTATTGGGGCGGATATTTTTGGTCTGGATCTTATTATCCACACTGGCTCATTACCAGTTTGAGTGCTGAATTGAACGGTGCGTTCTAAGAGCTGTACCAATGCATCACCGTTTAGACCATGCAAAAATAACCCCCAAGATCTCTGCGAATTGAAAGGAAGGAGCCCCTGGGTCACAGAGGCCAATTTGAAGCCATTCGTTGAATTTGATTAGCTGTGCAACTAAGTTTAAAATTAATTTACCTGTGATGTCTAGCAACTATAACATTTGCCTTCACTGACGGGTGTTGACCTTTCGAATGTGACTTGAGTACCGTATTTTCGATGTCGGCTGTTAGCATTTATATGGGATAAAATAGCCAATGTTGCCGGAAATTTAGAAAATTCTGGGGAATTTTAATATCACTATTTACGCTGAAACACATGTGGACGGACGTGGCTGCCTGCAGCAATTTATCTTCAGCCGAATTCATGTTCGCACGTGAAAAATAAAATTCGCGAGGTTTTCTTGCCATAATAAAACTCAGGGCTGGCGAGTTTCATTTTGGTAGTCTACAATTATGGTGGCAAATATATGGCGTCCATCTGTCGTGTCTTTATTTTATTTGTATCAAAAATAAAATTAGGTAAATAGCACAGATTATCCACTATCGTACATTTATTCTCAAGGAACAACGGGAACAATGATCGTATACACAAGTATATCCAGGTGAATCTTCAATGTCAGATACTTGTTCGTTCCAAAATACTTTTGTTGATAAGAATTAATTCGACAAGTGTGCATACATTCTACATCGTAGTAAAGAGTGAAGCTCGTGTTAAAATTATGTATAGGGTGCATCAAAAAAATACAAGAAGTCACGTTGCTCAGATAATTTAAGCACATAGCGTGCAAGGTGATGAACGAAAATCTTTTTAAGTATTGTGTTGTGATTTGTCTCGCATACTTGAGATTTCTGCTTTGATTTGCGACATGAAATAATATTCCACGCAACTGCCTGAGCTAAAGAAACCCAACCACCCACGAGCTAAAATGGTGTTTCCTCTGTTGCTCGTTTTCTGACACAGCAGTAGAATTACTTAACCCCAGTCTACTTTAAGTATAGATAAACCTCCTTTAGTTAAACAAAACAAAATAGTTTCGCTAGACGTAAGAAGCTAACAATATACGTAAACAAAGTGTAAATTCACAAGTTACATCCAAAATAACATAGTTAGCAGATTCGGTAACAAGCGCTAACCGACAACCACAAATCATAATTTAAACCTCCGGCAAAATCTATTGGTCCTCATGCGTAATGTCAACCTTTAGGAAGGAAACCAATAAAATTCTTATTCTCGATAATGCATGGCACGTTTGTACGCGCATGATAACGGAGAAACATACCCGAAAGATCTGTAATTGTCCAAACATGTTACAAGTTAACCAGTTACAAACTGGTGTTTCTGCTTGTATATACGGGACTGTGTGTTCTTGTAACCGGGTTGATTTTAACCCATGGTGAGCTGAGTCTTTGGGGTCTCGATCCTAACAAATTGTTGAACCGCTGCTGTTAATGTTGTGCCGTGAGCCCATATCCCGGAGGCGTTCTAAAATGGACTGCTGGGTGGGAGTTAGGTTATGCCCTTTTGTTTACCAATGAGCCAAAACACACCATTCAGCTTGAGCCGATTCACTGTCTCCTGACGCATGCCATTCTGCCTCTCGGGTGTATACCTTACCTAGAGCTTTGGTTGAGTATCCGAGTCGTTCTTCTGTAAGATGTGGACGCCCTACCAATATACATGTTCAACCACCAACCATGAAGTGCGCCAATAATAATACATCTATCGGGCGTCCCGCATTAGCCTTAGGAAGTAAGCCGCTTTTCCTGCCGCAGACAGCGGGAAGGATAAACGAGGAAATGTTACCGCTTGCGCCATCCTTGTTTCTTCTTCCCTGCATATACCCACCCCGCCTCCCCCTTTGACTTAACTCACTACTTCCTTCCATCCAAGTCTTCACCGCTCATATCATTGCCCGACAAAGCAATCGCATGCCTGTGCGCACTGTGCTTAACATCAGGGCTCGAATGTGTGGAGTGTTCGACAGGAACACGAGTGAGCGCCCCGAGCGACGCCGTGCACTAGTTGCCATGGAAATGACGCGCAACAAACTCGATATTGAGGTACTCATGGATATCTTGCGCGCTGAGCAAGTTAACTTGAGTGAAGCTGGTGCTGGTTATAAGTTCTAATTGGTGGGAAACGCCGCTTCAGCATTACGTGAACATGAAGTCAGATTTGTACTATCCGATCGCTTAAATTACCAGCTGGTGGGTGAGCCCACAGGCATCAGCGCGCGACTGATGACTTCGCTTACAACTCCCAAGAAGTAAGTTTGCTACTTGTATAAGTACTTGCGGTCCTGCCATGATTTATCTTGATGACAAGTGAGCTCAGTTCTACACTCCGTTTCCTTCCGTTATACAGTCTGTGCCGAATAGAGACCGACTATTTCTACTGGATGATTTCAACTTGCGCGTTGGGCGTGATGCGTCGGTATGTACAGATGTCATCGGTCCACATGGCATTGGTTCAGCGAATACGAACAGTGAGAGGCTGCTCTCACTGTGTGCCACTCAAGGCCTGAAGATCACGAACTATCGGGTTGTAATGAGTAAGAGAGATTTAGCAAGTTGGACGCACCTACGGAGTGGTCACGCTCACCTTCTTGACTATATCATGGTACCTCAACATGATTTACGTGAAGTGCGCATGACACATGTACTGCGTGAAGCTGTGGTACTTATCATAAATGGGTACAGATCAAACGGTACATATATTTTCGTAAATCTATGTATCGCGCTCATGCCGTGAACCGGCGTAAATTTGACATTCTCACCCTCTGTACTACGTAAATGTGTGTCAAACTGGAGAAGGCGATGGCTGCGCGCCTGTGTGATGTGGAACGTACAGCCAAAGTGGGTGACCTGTGGCACCACACTATAGACCAACTGACAGCAGCTACCATCGGGGGCGCCAACTGTAAGTGGCCCGGTTAGTTTGATGAGAACAATGGGGCGGTTGGCGCGTTGGTATGTGAGCAGAATGCAGCATTTGCAGAATATGTGACAGAACCCAGTGACTTGGGGAAGAAGTGTCTTTTTCGCTAACTTCGACAGCGACTGACTCGAGTAATGTGTCGAATTAAAGTGCATGGTGTTCTGAGAAGGAAAACCCACAAAAATGCTGCGCCCAACTCCACCAACACAAGCAAATCTTTGGCTCTTTGAAGGTGTTGTATGGACCGACTTTGGAGCCTTTGGGAAGCTGTTTGGCCGTAGTTCAGGCGCTGTCTGCACACAGACGGCAGGCATAATGCAAATACGGCAAAGGCAATTTGATGCCCCATGGAACAACTGTTCAGAAATTAACTTGTCTACTTTGAACAGTCTGAAGCAACACGGGGAAGTTGAGTCTGGCGGGCACAATGACAGTGGATATGATGCAGAGGGCACTTGATCAGCTGTGAAACGACAAGTCTGCCGAGGCCAACGGATGTCCGCCTGAAGTACTGAATCATGGCGAAGTGTGTTAGTGAATGCGTCGCACCATTTTGTGCAACACTTGTGGATTGAAAAGGAAATTTCTCCTGAGTTGAAAAATAAGCCTGTGTTTCTACTGCACAATAGCAAAGGAAGTAATCACTGTAACATGAATTCTCATGGTCTCCGCTTGCTGACTTTTCTGGGCAAGATGGTTGCCTGAATCTTGCTCATCTGCCTAGTCAGTCGAGTTGTGGAAACGAACGAGGCTGAAGAGCAATGTGCATACCGTTCGGGTTGCAGCAACATAATTATGATATTTGCGAATCCTCAGTTGCGGGATAAGTACAAAGAGCGACATCAGTCACTGCACTCTCTGCTTTTTATTTCACC